AGCTTTTCGTACAGAGGAGCAGCGTATTGGAACAACATCCCAGTAAACTTGTTGAAAACCCTAAGAAAATCAACAAGTTTAAAATCTGTCCATCATCTATTAAATAATTACATCTTGTAAATAAGTAAATAAGTAAATAAGTATATTTTGTAAATAAGTATAATTTAGTTTATTAGTTCCTTCTTTTATAATGCATTTATTTTCCGCACGGCCCTTTGAAAATCACCTATGTGAAAGGTTACCGTGTTTAAAGATCAATAATAATAATAATAATTTGGGCCAATGAATTTTTCGATTTTGGCTTGTTACTAAACTCAGGGGCAGGTGATACCCGATATCAACTGTCGGTGAGTTCTCAAAACGGTTCCTCTTTACCAACGTTGTCCTTGGAACCAACCCAAAAAGCTAAACACATTGCCAATATTGAGACGTGGACATCAGCGTTTCAAATTTTTGTGGGGGTCTATACTGGGAAATATCCCATGGAGGCCCCTGCATTAATGAAGTATGGGGAAGTTGTTCGGGATTTGGCCGCGCGCGGGGGTGACTGGCGATTTTACGACATGCAATTTCGCAATTTACGACAAACCAGTCCGTCTGAAATGCCTTGGGGTTCAACTCATTGGGAACTTTGGATCCGTGCGCAGAATTTTAATAATTCGCGTTTCCAATCTAAGAGCCAGCCTACACGCAATAATTTTACGAATGCTGTTGCTGGACCCTTTGTTCCCACGCCAGGGGGTTTTGTCGGAAGTTTCACCGGCGTACTGAATGCCAAGGTTGCAATTTTCAGCACAAATGTTTTAAATGCGTAGTTCACCCAGCTGTCCGGTGTAATTTTCGTCCCTCAAGGGCTGCCTTTAACTCCACCTCGTCCGCCGCCAAATCCCGCGCTGCCAACGCCAGTTCGCATTGAAAAACTTAGACCTTTATTATGTGGATACGATGTGGGATTAACGTCTATGTTATATTATGGTTTTAAGTATGGTTTTCCACTCCATTTCAAAGGAGCTAGATCCTCATTTTTCGCCAATAATTTAGTTTCTGCAGAACAAAATCCTGAAATTGTTAGTGCTAAACTTTTCAAAGAGCTAGTGCCAGGCCAACCGGCTTGCTGGGCCTTTCGACCAACCTCCTTTTGTTAACTTTCGTGTTTCTCCCTTGGGAGTTGTTCCTAAGAAAGCTCCAGGGGAGTATCGCTTGATTCATCATTTGTCTTTTCCTAGTGGTGATTCGGTTAACGACGGTATTGCTACTGAGCATACCTCGGTATCTTACGCTCGCGTAGATGACGCAGTCACAATGATCAAGCGATTAGGGCGCGGAAGTTTCCTGGCAAAAACAGATATTAAAAGCGCATTTCGCATTATCCCAATGAGGCCTTCTGATTACGACCTTCTGGGTATTTTTTGGCAAGGAAAATTTTATTACGATCGCGCAATGCCAATGGGTTGTGCGTCATCCTGTCGCACTTTTGAAATGTTCAGCACAGCTCTAGAGTGGGTAGCTAAGAAACATTTAATGATCCCACATCTTATCCACATTCTCGATGATTATCTAATGGCGGCCTCTACCTATCACCAATGTCGCATTAACCTAGTTCGTTTCCTATCTTTATGTAAATATTTGGGCGTACCGATGGCTCCGGAAAAAAACTGTGGGGCCACAAAACATTCTTTCGTTTTCCGGAATTGAATTAGGCACTTTGCATATGGAAGCTCGTCTACCTGTTGACAAAACTGAAAAATGTAGATTATTAATATCGTCATTTCTTCGACGCAAAAAAGTCACTTTGCGTGAAATCCAATCTTTGACTGGCCTGCTTAATTTCGCATGCTCAGTAGTTGTACCGGGTCGGGCTTTCTTGCGTCGTCTTATTGATTTAACTAAGGGCATAACTGCTGCCCATTATTATATTCGCCTTACAAAATCGGTCAAAGCGGACCTAAGCCTTTGGCAGACATTTATGCTTGGCTTTAATGGTCGATCGTTTTTTCTTAACGATGTCTGGCAGGATTCACTTACTTTAAAATTATATACCGATGCCGCTGGCAGCCTAGGCTACGGCGCGGTTTTTGGTAATGAGTGGTGTTTCGGTGCATGGCCTAAAAATTGGAAACAACTCAACATTACTATTTTAGAATTTTACCCAGTTGTACTCCGTGTCCTCCTATGGGGAGACAGAATGAGTAATCAGCGCATTACCTTTTTTACGGATAATGCGGCATTGGTTGATATTATAAATAAAGCTACATCTCGTGATTCGACTGTGATGATATTTGTGCGGCAGCTGGTGCTGGCATGTTTGAATTTTAATATTTTATTTCGAGCTCGTCATGTTCCTGGTGTCAAAAATGTCTTAGCTGATTCTTTATCCCGGTTACAAGTTACGAAGTTCAAACAACTGACCCCGGTGGGTGCACACTCATCACCAACAGTTATACCAGATCATCTACTGCCACAGAGTTGGCCAATATAACTTCTAGGTTAATTAAATCTAGTTTGCAGCCATCATCAATCCCTACTTATCGTAGGGCCTGGAAACTTTATAGCCAATTTGCTTGTGCGGTATTTCAATCAGCTTTAGTCCGGATGCCTATCTCACCTTCAGATTTAGGACTATTTATAGCGTACATGTTTCAGCACAAATATGCGGCCTCCACTGCGAACACTTATGTCTCTGCACTGGGTTATTGTCATCGTCTGGCTGGGGTGAACGACCCCAATAATGTCTTTTGGGTACTTGAAACGTTGAAAGGATATGGAAAGCTTGGTTCACGCCATGACACACGCTTACCTATAACACTTCCTATCCTTCGTAATATGTTATAACAAACACCAACCTTGTGCTCTAGCGAGTATCGAGGTGCCAGGTTGTTACAGAGACAGTCTCTTAATAACTATTACAGAGTGCGCTCAGCTCATTTTCCAGGTGGAGAAAAGTCCTACATTACAACAATATTCGATTGACACTTGTCACAACATGGTGGAGAATCTTGTAGTTTATAATTCTAGCAATACTCCTCTCCCCATATGTACCCTGACAAAAGCAATTTTTCTTGTTGCAACTTGTTCAAGGCTGAGTTGCTCTTTTCCACGTAAAAAAGAAGCGATGTCAAGGGTAACATTCCAGGGGAGATCTTTCTCAATGTCAAAACCACAGTCTGTCATAACTTGATCTCCTGATTATAGGAGATTTTGGATTCCACAATTCTTTACAAGTGATTTTTTGTCATTTGTCCTACCAGCATATAGGTTTGAAAAAAAAAATGTTAGCCATTTGAGGATATACCGGGCAAACCTTTGGCAGTGTTGTGGTTTTTGTAGGATGAAAATGTAGCTGAGTGGCTTCTGAATGAAGATGGCATAAATTCAATCCTATTTTCTGTGTTATCTTTACCACTCTATTTCTTTTGAAAAACACAGAGGCATATTTTCATCAATACACTTTCTTGTGGGACAAATAGGTAATGCACAGACTTGCTGATGAAGAAATGTCAACCAAGTGATCCATGTTCTAGAAACATGCATGCACGATATGCCAAACCTGTGAGCCAGATCTTGTTTTAGAAAACCACAACGCAATCTAGCCAACACCATAAATAGTTCCTGTCGGGTGTCATTGACCTTCGTTCACCACACTTTTTCTAGTTTGCTGAGGTTAGTCTGTTTGTTTTTCACTTTTTCTAGTCTGCAACAACCATATATGACTATACGAAGGGCGACATGGACGCTCTGTGTGCTGCCTTGGGGGAGATTGATTTGTCCTCAACCATATCGGAGTCATCTGACTATATAAATGCCGACTGGGAGCGTTGGAAGAATTGTTTTCTGTCTACCGTTTCGGAACACATTCCAAAAAAGAAAATTCGAGGACGGGACCCGCTGCTATGGATCAACGGCAGTATTCTCCACCAAATAAAGAAAAAGGAGATCATTCGAAGAAAATTGAAAGCAAATCCCATTCTACACCTGCAAGAAAAATACAGGAAAATGCGTTCCGAAGTCAAACGATTACTTCGCGAAAGCCGTGAGAACTTTTTCTCTTCGATCAATTTCTCTATGCCTGCACCATCCAGCTCTACCGACCAAGTTGACCCATCCTCAGCTAGACCGACAGCCACGAAGCCTGCTGAAATAGCCGAAATGTTCAATACTTATTTCACATCGTTGTTTACAACTGACAACCTACCTGATTCATCTGAAGAATCAAGTACACACCCGCACATGACTGAATTAATTATAAGTGAACTTGAAGTCGAACGTATGCTTAAAACCCTCGACAGCAACAAAGGAACCGGACCTGATGGAATCCCAGCACGGCTACTCAAAGTTACTGCCCCCATTATTGCTCCCTCTCTTTTTAAATTATTCAATAAATCATTACGTCTTGGAACAGTTCCGGACGAATGGAAGCTAGCAAATGTTGTACCTGTACATAAAAAAGGGGATAAAGGTCTGACTGAAAACTACAGGCCCATCTCATTGTTGTCGATCGGTTCGAAAGTCCTAGAACGCAGAGTACTCATGAGCATCAAATATCACCTATCCCAAATTATAAACATGTATCAGCACGGGTTCCTTCAAGGTAAATCGTGTGTCACAAACCTATTGGAAGTACTTGACTACATTGGTAGGATTCTGGACAATGGAGGACAGGTCGATACTGTCTATCTCGATATGTCTAAAGCTTTTGATCGGATCAATCACAGAAAACGAATTAACAAATTGAGGAATTTCGGCTGTGGAGGTAGATTGCTGAAATGGTTCTCTTCGTATTTAACCGGTCGTCGTCAGCGCGTCACAGTACTTGGTGCTACATCGAACACACTTCCTATATCATCAGGTGTCCCGCAAGGCTCCATCCTTGGACCAGTTCTGTTTTTGTTATATGTCAACGACCTTCCTGATTCAGTAACAACCAGCAAAGTGGCAATGTTTGCTGATGATACGAAGCTATTCTCGGCGATCAAATGTCAAAGCGATGCGGTATTACTCCAAAACGATCTCAGACACTTAGAACACTGGTCTTCAATATCGGGTTTGACGTTCAATGAATCGAAGTGTAAACAGCAGCAAATAACAAGGAAGATTACAGCGATCACGTCAACTTACATGTTGAACGATCCGCAACTGGATACGACGGATACCGAAAGGGATCTTGGACTTTGCGTATCGTCAAACCTCACGTGGAAAGTGCAAGTACGCCAACAAGTGTCGAAAGCAGGTAAACTACTGGGCTACATCAGAAGAAACACTATGTTTGTGACAGATATAACACCAAGATGATCAATGTACCTTGCACCGGTTCGCTCTCATTTCGGCTATGGATCACAGATTTGGGCACCACAGGCGATTGATCTCATCAACATGTTGGAAAGAACTCAGAGACGCGCAACAAAATTCATTTTAAATTTGCCATTTTCGACAGACGTGGACTATAGGACAAGATTAATTTTCCTTCATCTTCTTCCTGTATCATACTGGCACGAATATCTAGACTTGACCCTCTTCTTTAAAATCACCCATGGCCTCGTAGAAACGTCTACTCTTCCCGTCATCCATGTAACACACAGAACGACACGATCATCATCCAACAACACCGTGAAATATGTTATACGCAAAAGCAAAACCACTACCTACCAACAATCATTCTTTGTAAGAGCTTGTCGTCTATGGAGCGGACTTGTTGATGAACTTCATTTCGACAAGGACAGCCTTAGCGTTTTCAAAAGAACTTTATTAAAGTACTATTATCAGTCATTACTCAATTATGACCCTGATAATCCTCGAACACTTAAAACTATATGTTTTAAATGCAACTCTGTGCGTAGTCTTGAATATCCAGCGTCTTGCTGTTATTAATACATTCTATTAGTGCGTTATAGAATGTAAGTTTGTTGGTTTGCATGCATACTTTAGTTGTCTACCTGTTAATTTGTGATTGTTTGTTAGATATTATTATTGGGCCCGCAGTAATTGGCGTTATGCTGTTGTGGAAACCCTGCCAGAATTTGAAATTTATGTAACGGCAAAGTTATTAAATTATTTTATCAGTGTTTGACCCACAATAAATTAAACTATTGCATGGTGGTAACAAGTAATCGAAAATGTTGTATATAATCTGGCCGAAACCAGTATAAAATTAAAAGTTGTTATCACTGTCAAGAAATCTTTCCTAACTGAAATAAACATTGCTGTGATGTTACATAGGTATAACGAGTTTTTTTTCTAGGGATTTACATTTTGTTTTAAGATATCAAACTTGCTCTTTTTTGTCATCCATGGGTGTTATATTTGCAGGTTGACTGGAATTGAGAGTAACTGGTGTTTTCAGTTGCTATGTTATCCTTAAGTGTTGTATTTGTGAGTTGATAAGAAGTAGCTCGGAAAAGAGTGTAAGCCTAACTTGGCATGTGACCATCTGCATGACTTTTGTAAGTACACTTACACAAGTTGTTAATATAATTGGAATATTGCATGGCCAGAAATTCAGGACAGTCAGCGGAAAGACGCGCGTGCTCATATTCACCAAATTTCCATTTCAAGAAAGAATAGAATGCAGTCGGGCATGTATCCGACATTGTATTCGTATGCAAATTGTATACGCACAATACAACAATAAGCCGTTTAAATACTTACTTGAGGTACACAATCATTTTTTGTTTGCTAAAAAGCATATATTTTGTGGCTTTTTGGAACCTGTTTATCCATCCTCTACGGGTTTGTAAACTGTTGGAGAACAAAGATAAACTCATCTTTTATCAATGCAGACGTGCAGAAGCTCCATGTACTGCCCACGAATGTCCTAAAATGCTGCCCAAAAATGTGCATTTTGCGAATTTTGGGAGAATTAACTATCTGGTATATGTGATGAGATAAGGTAGGAATATAGTTCTCGGGATTTGGTTTGTCCTACTTGAGCTGTTCTGAAATTTATTCGGTTAAAGGATCGAGTAATTAAATGATGTTTTCGACGTGCAGAGCTCGGATTTATGTACGAAAAAAGCTGGAAATTGGTAAAACATATATTTGCAATACTTAATCTATATATAAATCAGCCATCTTGAATAATAAATGAGGAAGTACATTGCGTATGCCAACCGCCATGTTGTCCTGAATTTCTGGCCATGGTTTTAATGTAGGACCTTTTTCCATCTGGAAATGGGCTGAGCACACTCTGTAGTAGTTCTTTAAAGTAGGAACAACCCTTTTGTTTTCAAAATTTCATTTCCTTTTTAGTTTATTGTGCTTTGTATCGAGTAAAATGAAAGCTCGAGGTTATGTAGGCTGTTACTCAGACACTGCGAACACAAAAATATTTCCCTCTACTGGTACAGGTTTTTGAATTAGAGTTAGTTTCTTCTACAGACTGTATGAATTGGTCTGCATCCGGCGTTCTTCCACAACTTATTGTTTATATTGACTAATATTTAAAAATTTAAGAAACACCACTACCTAGCTATTATTAAAACTATTTACAACATTTTAGATACAATATTTACAAAATGAATTATTAAAAAAAAATTATTTAAATTATATTTATAATTTAGAAATTATAAAAAACACTTATAGCCTTAGCTAAGTTTTCAAACCGAGATTTAAACAGTTTAATTAAGAAGTATTATATGAAATTTAATGCCAGCACAAGCTAAAAAATGCTCTGTATTTGTGTTATTTGTTGGCTAACAACGTTTAGGAAAACTAGGAAATACAAGGTTCTAGAAAGACATTTACCAAAGCAACCACGAATGATAAACAAAGTCAAAAACAAACTAGCAGTAATATATCCAGCAAATATTACTTAAGTGTATTTTAAAGAAGCCAGAATTGAAACGAGATATTTTCGCGCACAAAACCGGTCAACATTTAAGGCCTGTCGGTCATATTGATTTCGAAAACAACCGATCAAATAGTATCAAATCCAACATCTCAAAAGTAAAAGATCTGAGGTTTAAGAGTAAAATTAATACGAAATCGAGGTAGAAAGATATCGCCGAAATAGACAAAGACTAAAAGAATTTCCCAAACGATCATAAATAAGCACACTCACTTCATAACAGGGCGACAGACGTTGGGAAGAGAATGCTTTGCTCGAAAATGTGCTCACCCCTTCGATCGATATGAAGTGCATTTTCGCGGCAATCATGGCAGCGATTTCGCTCATTTCTTTCACAAATATCGTTAAAACAAACCTCGTCAAAATTACTTTGTTGAAATTGCCGCCATTTCTCATGGCCTCATGGCCGCCATTTCAACAAAAATGAAGAAGATACCCAACTACCAGCATGCGTTGCGGCCCGAATTGCTATAAGGTTAAAGGTCCATTTAGGAATGTCGTTTTCTCAGAGCGATTTGGTTAATTGATACATTTCCATCACCTTGCCAACCTGGGACTGCAGGCTTGTATAAAATTAACGCAAAACGCCATGCACTTTGGGTACACACGTCCAAATTTGTCAAGAAGATGTGTTCGCAACAGGCTTGTAGCAAGCTTGTCAACAAGTTGTAACAAATAACAAATAACAAATAACAAATAACAAGGGTGTCATTTTATCAAGTTCCTACCAGATTGCCACTGACAACTTGTTCATAAATTGTCGACAAACTGTTGAATTGCAAGACAACAAGTCATTGGAGCAACTTGCAATAAGTCTGTTGAGTATTAATTTTGTCAATTTTGTGCTGTATACGGGAAAATATCCAACTGATGAATTGTTGTTTTAACCGAGCGATACTGCCCGAACGGTTGAGGTCAGTAAGTTTTTTATTATATGGCATTGTACGTTTTTAAAAAATGGGGAGAAAAGTCACGCGAGGGCAAAGTAGAAAGTCCGAAACATTTGAAAAAAAAAGCAGTTGTAAAAACATTACTTTATATAGAATAATAACAAAGTTTGGATCGTATTTCAAGAAAAATACAAGATAATTCATCACTTAATCAAAGGCAACAAATATGAAAAGAATAAAATTAATAAACGGAATCGACAAGTGCATTTTTAGATCGCTTCATCTCATATATTTATGTCTCTTTTTATCTAACGAAAACAGAAATTTTCAGGGAAAATTATAAATCTGTGGCTGCTTTAGTTGTATTTCTTATTTAGATGGTGTCAGATTCCTCTTGGCCATCTAGAAATGAAATTTGCAGTTCTTCACATAGTCAAAACACAACTATTCTTGATCGCGCTTTAATACTAGTTAAACATGCACATTGTAACAAAAAATATTGAAAAAGTTTTTTAACCACAGCAATGGTTACTTTTCTCTTTTTTAGGTCTACTTTTCTTCCTTCTGAATAATACTAGTTTGAAAGACTTTTAGACACTTTTTGCCGTTTGAAACTTGGCTCTCGTCGCAGCTTTGGAAGGCAATAAAAATTGCGTATTGCCCGTGCATGGCAATACGGCAAAATCCTGCCTCGTCAGCAGTCAATCAAATTGCGCAATTTATCAAAGCAAATGCTTGCCATATAATATACATATATATATATATATATATATATATATATATATATATATATATATATATATATATATATATATATATATATATATATATATATATATATATATTTATACCGCTTCTAGAATATATTCAAGTAAAAGCTTACAACACATGCGAATTGTTCTGCTTCATAAAGTTCATCATATTGATCTTTCATC